GCTGGAGCAAAAATAAAAAATAAAAATCGAGATGTCACAAATACATACACTTGAGCCAGCATAATCTAATCCTACAAATGTAATGGGCATGTTTTCATCGCATGTCAACATAAAAGGTAATGAAAAAATAGAGGGTTAAGGATTTAGTATTTAAAAGTTAGGGTTTAGAATTTAAGAAAAAATAAGTAACAGAGTTTTGACAGGGGAATGAACGAATCGAAAGCAATAATTCACTTTTTAATTATTTATTCACCCAATTTTTCTTGCTAATAAGTGTTGCAATAGTTTTTTTAAAAAAATTAGTTTAAATATTGAGCTAATTCAACAAAGGCATGTTGTATTGCTCGGTATAAAAAATTAATTAATTTAAATAATATAACAATTTTAAAATAAAATTGATGGTTTGAATTTCAATTTTATTTTAATATTGTCTCAAGTAAGTTATTATTTTTTCTAAATTTAACTCACCAAGTCAATATTTTTAATTTATTAAATAAATAAAAACTCATTATCAACCTGTCGTTTTATGTGTCTAGTAGCTACTAGTTTGAATTAAGTCATCAAACTATTATAATTATCAACAAATTTAAATATTACTTGGTGCTTTAATAATACAAATAAAATAAAATAAAAATCTTATAAAATCTAATTGGAATTAATTTCATTTTCATTTTTAAAATTTTTTTATAATAAAATAAATTAAACTAATTGTATTCGTAGAATCCACCCCACAACTTTTTTTTTTCTTTTCTTCTTTTTGATTTTGAAGAATTTAATTTACTCAGAATAAATTAGTTCTAAAAGAAAGTGTCAAAAATCAGCTTCAAATTTTGTATATTAATAATATTAAAAAATGAACTGAAAAATAAAATAATAACAAGGAAAAAAAAAAACAACGACGTGCTTGTTTCTCATGGCGTCTGCCAAATTAAATGAATTTCTTTGTTAAGAGGGCCCAGGGAACACGGTGTTTGACCAACGAGTTTGAACGGCTAAGATGCAACGGTTTGGTAAGTCAATTTCTTTCTAATTAGTGACGTCAAAATAAAAATAACTAATATTGTTGTTTTATGGGAGTGATATTTTTCTTTTGATTATTTATGTGCGAAAATATAGTAGCTCGTATATTATTGTACACAATATATTTAATTGTATTAAAATAGGTCCTCATAATTGTATTAAAAATGTGCGGTAGAGTTAAAAGAGTAAATTTTGACGTGTATAATATAGTTTATAAGTACATACCTAATTATTATTATTATTATTATTATTCATTTGTATTTGTTTCTATAAAATAAAATAAAAAAAAAAAACTACCATGTGTTAGGTGGGGGCCGGTGAGGAAGTTGAACACTCCCGGGGCTTTTAACATAAGCTCAGTTTTAGGCCCAAGATTACCATTTAATATATTTATTAAATATAATTACTAATTAAAATAAAATTGAAAATAAAGAAGGCAGTAAGTAAGTAAACAAATTCAAATTGAATTATTTCACGAAAAAAGGTAAAATCACAATAAATAAATAAATAAATAATAATTGAATCCACGTGTCGAGAGGAGAATGAATTTAGAAAAATAAATAAATAAATAAATAAGTAAAATTAGCCGAGCACGTCTTTCCATTTAAAATATCTTCACCACATTTATGGGCAACAGCGTGGAATATGGTTTATTTTATTGCATGGTGGGGTGGATGCGGTGCTGCTGGTCGTAATTGAATCAATTGTGCCTGGCTTATATGATACATTGTAATATATTACAATTACATTAAAATAATAAATATTTATGACATTTATTCTTATTAAAAAATAATAATAGCTATGAATTTTTTAGTTATGTATGTGATTTGTTTTCGAAATATATATATATTAAAAAAATTAATAATAAAAATGACGATAGATAAAAAAAAAATAATAAAATTATTATTAAAAAATACATATATTATATTAATGGAATGAAAAGATAGGAAGAGAAAGCAACTTGATGGGAGGGAGAAGCCGGGAGGGTTTTTGTCATCTACTCTTTTATCTAACTCGCTCCTCCTCCTCCTCCTTCTCCTTCTTCTTCTCCTTCTCCTTTATTTATTTTCTCTCTCCTAATCAATTAAAGCTCTTGTCATCTTCATCCTTTTGCTTTTAATTCTTTACAACAAAAAATCTCCATTACCAACTCTCCATTTCCCTTTTTCTCAACTGGCTTGCCAACTTGATATACACACACTTGAGCTAAAGCCTCGCTGCAGTCATGGATGAAACTACTGATCATCGTGGTCTCTCGGCCAAATTAGATTCAGAGGCTTCCGAGCTTGAATCGCCAGCAACTCCCGCATCTAAGAGGAGGTAGCTAGCTTAATGAACACACACACACACACACCCATACACATATACATATATGTACTACGTGCATACAAGACGTGTGTAAATATATATATATATATATATATATATATATAGTCTGATCTTTCTTTTTATGAGAAGTGCATTTTCTTTTACAGGAAATTGGTTGAGAAGCATGTTGTTAGAGTTAAGACTGGAGAAAATGTTGGGAAGCTTAAAAATGAAGGGCCACCTTCAGATCTTTGGTCATGGAGGAAATATGGACAGAAACCCATCAAAGGATCTCCTTATCCAAGGTATTTTTTTCCCCTTTATCTCTCATGAATTTCCTCTTTCTAGTCTCTTCTATGTACTTATATATCACGTCCTCTGAAAAGCCTTCACTCGAATTCAAAGTGCTTTTTCCAACTTCAGATTATTTTTATTATCCCAAATAAATCTGTCTTTCTCCTTATAAAAAATTACCCTTTAAACATCAAGACTATGTAATGCTTCGTGTTCATGTATATGTGTGTGTGTATATCGTGTCTCTTAATTTAAGATGAGCGGCTTAATTAGTTATGAATTACTTGCAGAGGCTATTACAGATGCAGCACATCGAAGGGTTGTTCAGCAAAAAAACAAGTGGAAAGATGCAGAACAGATTCTTCATTCCTCATCATAACCTACACTTCCAGCCATAACCATCCAGGTCCTGATATAGACATGACCAATACCGACCCGAAACCCGAAACCCAAACCCAATTACCCACCCGAGAAGATGATCCTCCAACCCCAAAACAAGAACCCACTACCACGAGAGATGATGATCAAGATCAGGAAACCCACGACGACGATCATCATCAATATCACAGCTTTCAGTACTTACAACCAACATTAAACGAGTCGGAAGACGGTATAATAATCAACCAAGACGACGATCCGATAATAAATCCAAACGAAAAACTGGATTTTCTCTTGGTAGAGGAGCCGCTCATCCCTTCTTGCTCTCATCTCCTGAATCTATCAAGCAGCACTGAGAAATCAGAAGAGAACGATTTTTTTGACGAGCTTGAAGAGCTGCCTTGCACTTCTTCTTCATCCGGCTTCAGAAGCTTCATGGGAATTGGCAATGTTTTTGATGAGAGGATTCCTGTTGTGCCTTCTTGATCTAGGCGCTCTGAGATATCTGACGCATGTATCCATGGAAATTAAAGATCGAAGCAAATGTAAATTAATTAATTAAAAATATTTATATACATATATATATATATATATTTATATGAGAGATGCCCTATAGCAGCTACTTATAGGTCTTTTTCTAGTACACCCAGCTCCCATCTAGCATTTTGTGGTTATAATTGATTTCTAAATTTGGGTTCATAAAGAGAAAAAGTAGTTTATTCCCAAGGATCTGCACCGTTTTTTAGATAAAAGTATCTTTGGGAAATTTCTTTTACATATTAAAAATTACATTTTCTATATAATTTTAAGATGTAATTTTTGAAGTTCTAATTTTATATAGAGACTCACTAATTGTAGTAATTAAACAAAACAAAACAAAAAAAAACTAATAGGAATTTGAAGAGTACACATGAGGGGTTTTCATATAAAAATACACTTCAATATTTATTTTTATAATTTAAAATTGTTTTGATTATAATTTTAGGGAAGTTTTAATGAGATGTATTTCTTATTAAAAATTTGTGAGAATTTTAGGATTAAAATCTCATGTGGATAAAGACAGACACATGGGGATTATTGGGGCTTATTGTTCTTCTGTTGGTTGGTTGGTTGTCTCTTTGTTTCTTTCTGGATTAGTTGAATGATACCACGAGACTCACGAGTGAGAGGAGTGGTTGAGTGCTCTATTATATTGATATTAATATAACATCTTTATAATATAAATACATAAACACGCATATATATATATATATATATACACATTAAGTGGTTTCCACTTTCCTAATCTTTTTTAAATTCTTGAATTAGGCTTCTTCTTTTTGGGAGTGATTGCTTGGATAGAGGAGGTCTCCATCATATCCATTTTGATCCGTACAATATATATATATATGTATATATATATATATATATTTTTTTTTACAGTAGTGGGATTTTTGCATATAATTAAATACTGTTTTTACCTGGTTAAAATTTGAAGTAAACAAATTAATTAAAACATTAAATAAGATGGTATTGATGTGGGGGGGGGGGAAAGGGGGATAGATGGTGGTGGTTTGGCAGTTACAGATTCCATGTGGAAGAAGCCAAATTTTAAGTTTTTTAGGGGAAACCAAAAAGCTTGTCTAAATTTTTGTGGTGACGTGGCTGCCGCCCGTGGCACGTGTGGATCCAACCACGTAACAATAAACACGGAGGTTGGGAGATGGATGACACGTGTAATGTGTCCGTTGTAGAAATTAATAAATTCTATTTATCCGGATAGGGTTTAATAAATTAAAAACAGCTCGTTTGGTCAGGCTTTAATTATATTTATTTATTGTTACATTAAAGACATTAATCAATAAGCCATCTTTTTAATATTTTATATTTTATATTTATGTTATAAAATGAATTAAGTTATAAGAATTTAGTTAATTTATATATGTTATAAAATTTATTAAAGTCCAATGGAC